TCCTAAGAACCTGAATTGCTCACCTGGTAAAAATATGCCATTTTTGATATATTTTATCTGTACTGCAATCAGTTATGTATGCTTATTTGTAAATCTTATTTAGTGATATTTTTGAAGATCTTGTACATTTTTCCTGTTACATAGATATACGAAGATGTGGTATGAGTGCCAATGAGACAACTCTCCATCCAAGTCAAAATTTATAAAAATAAACCATTATAGGTCACAGTACGGTCTTCAACACGGAGCCTTGGCTCACACCGAACAGTAAGCTATAAAGGGCCCCAAAAAAATACTAGTGTTAAACCATTCAAACGGGAAAACCAACGGTCTAATCTATATAAAAAACGAGAAACGAGAAACACTTATGAACCACATCAACAAACGACAACTACTGAACATCAGATTCCTGACTTAGGACAGGTGCAAACAAATGCAGCGGGTTTAAACGTTTTAATGGTACCAAACCTTCACCCTTTTTCTGAAACAATAGTGTAACATCACAACATAGAAAGACACACTATAAAATATCAACTGAAATAGCTTAACTCAATCAAAGGACATATTAACACCATTGAACATACACTGAACAAATAAATTTGACCTATGACACAATGTAAATACAAAATAAATAAACTTAGGGAAGAATAATAAAAGTAACATGTTATATCGGTAAGAAATGTTAAACAATTAAAGAAAAACAATATGCTCGAACAAAAATACCATCCATTTGCAATAACTTTAAACACAGGTAAATGAAAATAATTTTGTTGTTAGGTATACTTGTACAGTACCAATAGAGAAAGGAAATATTTTTACAAAATAAATAATTTTGAATACAAAATAAATAAACTAAGGGAAGAATAATAAAAGTAACATGTTATATCGGTAAGAAATGTTAAACAATTAAAGAAAAACAATATGCTCGAACAAAAATACCATCCATTTGCAATAACTTTAAACACAGGTAAATGAAAATAATTTTGTTGATAGGTATACGTGTACAGTACCAATAGAGAAAGGAAATATTATTACAAAATAAATAATTTTGATGTTCATAGTACGAAGTGAAAATATATAGTTATACCAAACACTTATCAAAGCTGGTACATAGACCAGATATAACCCTGAATAACATTAAATAACAAAAAAGCAATACAATTAGTATCAACAGGTCAAATAAACAAGAAAGTACGATTTGAGAGTACTCGCAGTTACTGACAGCTAGTTAAAAGCCAAAACAATTAATAATAAAAAATCATGCATCAGAGACTAAAATCAACTAAAACACATCCCAGGGATTTAGTATTTTAACGTCATGGACAGTCAAAGAAGACATGACTAGTGCAATGCCAAAAATAAATGTATCGACAGACAGTAGGATAGTTAGGAGTTTAACCTCTTTATAGATCTAAACGAACGTGGGTGTGTCTTTATACATCCCACTTGAAAAAAATACAAATTTAGTTATGTTTTAATTTGCTGATGACAAAATCGATATTAGTGCCAATGTAAACTATATTCAAAGATCTAATTACAACATTGGTAAGATAACCTTTACTAATAAGCCTGTTTGAAGGTTCGATGAGTTTACACGGATCACATAGTGAGTTCCGCGCTTTAAGTACATGTACAATATTACCGTAAAATTTAGGATGTGAAATACCGTTTTTAATCAGTTTTCTACAAGTACAGACAAATTTACTAATCATATCTTTGTATCTATGAAAGAACTTAGCAAAAGTTTTACGTAATTTATGGTAACGAAATCCTTGATTTAATAATTTACCAGTGATGCATACGTTCGTTAAAATCTATGACATCACTACACACACGGGCAAAACGAACGAGTTCAGCTTATATTTATCTATTAAAGTTTTAAAGATAAACTGCAAAATTATAAAATTATTCAAATGTATTTAAGGGCAAAAAATCTTGTTACGAATTTGATAATTTTGCCAGTTTTCTTAATTTGCTTTTTAAAGTTTCTGTCTATCTACTATAGTTTTTTTTTTAACAAAATACCAAAAAATGGGTAAAACATCATCATGCAGGGGAAATAAATCCTTTAAGTAGACGGTTGACAATTTCAGCCATGCTGTTTTAATTGTAGATCTTATTGTGCGGAGTATTTTTTCCCTTTATTTCTATTCTAGTTTCTGCCAAGATAAATGCAATAAACTGTTGACACAGAGATCTGTCTGTATATTGTTTTTGTAAGTTTGATAGCATAATGCAAATATTGAATCCAAATGGCAATATCTAAGCACCTGAGATCAACCCAAGATTTTGGTTGTGTTCGTTTGCTCAGTCTTTAGTTTTCTGAGTTGTTTTTTATGTACTGTTGTTTGTCTGTTAATCTTTATCTTATTTGCCATGGTGTTGTCAGTTTATTTTCGACTTATGAGTTTGAATGTTCCTTTGGTATCGTTCGCCTCTCTTTTAAACATGTAAACTATGCAAAACATTCAAAGTCAATGAACCATGACTTAATGTGTAGGACCAAATAACCTGCATGGAAATGCCAATGTTTATAACACTGCATACCAAATACCATTGACTTATCATAAGTGGTTATCTAAACACTGACCTAAACACAAACTAGTACATGTTAACTAAGAATAAACTGCTTCGCTAAGCGCAGCTGGATACGCCCGCAGAGGTCCAACCCTGAACAGTTGGGGCAAAAATGGACACAATATTCAAGCTTGATACAGGTCTGAATTTGGATTGTAATTAAATATTTGACATATTATAGGTTTCTGAATAAATCTAGTCAAAGAACTTGAAATTGGTTATATGAATTGAATTTATATTCAATTAAAGATTTCTTGCTGTTGTGTAATACACTGTGCTGTTGCACAATACTTAGTAAATCTGTTTTCAGACTATAAACAAATAAAGTTCAATTTATTCTCAATGTCATATTAGAAATTTATGAAAATCAAAAGGGAGCTTACATAAATAGATATAAACAATTTACCAAAGTTTCATGAGAATTGCTGACAGCATTTTTGAGATATTGTCCGAAAACTGGAAAATCCCCCCTATTTAAACGAAAAAAAACCCATAACTCAGAAATGTAAAATGTAAAATTTATAAAATTCTAAAGGGAGCTTACATCAATAGATATAAACAATTCACCAAAGTTTCATAAGAACTGCTGACAACATTTATGAGTTTTTGTCCAAAAACTGGAAAATCCCCCCTTTTTTTATGAATAAAACCCTGTAACTCAAAAACGTAAAATCTAAAATTTATAAAAATCAAAAGGGAGCTCATGTCAATAGATATAAACAATTCACCACAATTTCTTGCAAGTTGGTGAAAGCATTCTTGAGTTATTGTCCGAAAACTGGAAAATCCCCCTTTTTTTAATGAATAAAACCCCATAACTTGGAAACGTAAAATCTAAAATTTATAAAAAACGAAAGGGAGCTCACGTCAATAGATATAAACAATTCAAAGTTTTATGCAAATTGGCTAAAGCGTTTTTTAGTTAATGTCCGACATGTTGACGATGGACGGACGGACAGACGGACAGACGGACGGACAACGGTATACCATAATACGTCCCATAAACAGGCGTATAAAAAGTTCAATATGTCAATAGACCATGACTGAGGGCAGGATCAAATTATCTCCATTGAAATGAGATGTACCAATGCTAATACAACTGCATACCAAATATCATTGACCTACCACTAGTGGTTCTCCATAAACTGACCTAATCACAAACTAGTACATGTTAACTAAGCAAGAGTTCCAAAGTCAATAGACCATGACTGAGGGGGCGGAATCAAATTATCTCCATGGAAATGAGATGTACAAATGCTAATACAACTGCATATCAAATATCTTTAACCGACCACAAGTGGTTCCCCATAAACTGACCTAATCACAAACTAGTATATGTTAACTAAACAGAGTTCCAAAGTCAATAGACCAAGACTGAGTAGGTGGGACCAAATTATCTCCATAGAAATGAGATGTGCAAATGCTAATACAACTGCTTACCAAATATCATTGACCTACCACTAGTGGTTTCCCATATTCATACATTGTTGATGCTGCTATAACAGCTTACCCGAGTCTTGCTTTTTGACTCCGTCAAGGCCAGACAAAAATAATTTTTTTCAGGTAATAACTCCTCTAAGGGGTCTATTGAGGATTTCAAGAATATTGACTTATTGCTGAACTTTTTTGTTATATATTGTTGCTCTATAATAGTTTCTACACAAAATGCATAAAATGGGTAAAAATGGTTATTCAGTGTCAGTAGCTCCCATAAGGCCATGTGAGCGAAAAATCTCTTTTGAGGGTGTTTTGTTTTTTGTGTGGTAGCTGCCTAATTGATGTTGTTACTCACATCAATTGTTATTCATAGCATAAACTAGAAATATTTAAATAGGGTTTGATTCTATAGTAGTTACATTGACCAGTGATTCAATTTATAAGACCAAAGAGGAGTAACTCTGAAGAAACATGCAATATTTGTTGACACAATACAACAGAAGTCTTGTTAATTGTTATTTTTCCTCACTAATAATGATGCTTTAAAATAACACAGATTGTTCAAAACCTCTATGTACTGACATTTTTATTCCCAAACATTTTGTATACTAGAAGTTCACACAATAAGATTTAGTCAAAATCACTTTCCTGGTGTGAGTTATTTACTGTGAATCAGGGTGATTGTTGATGATTTGAGGTAACAACACTCTGATTAATGACCATGCAAAATACTTATTTTTATTAAATATGCAGAAGGGTATTTTAGATTGAACTACCATCAGTCACAAGCATTCACTGTGAAAAATCACCACCAAGACAGCTTTTATACTGAACCACCTTATGTGTATATATATTCTGAAATCAAGTTTTATCTATGAAAAGATAATGATCAATGATAATTTTCGTCAGTGATTAATTTGCTTGCTATTGGTTAAATTTAAATATACATTATGACTTCTGCTTGACTGTGAACAAATAAAAACACCTTATTATACATTTTTTATTAATTTTTTTTCGTTAAAAAACAACAACTGAGCAAAGAAATAACACTGATTATACCTCATACTAATGTATTGCAATGTATGACATAATGTCAGGAATCAATATTGTATCAAAACAAAAATACATAGATAGACAGGCCGATTTCATTTATTTACAAAAGCATGCTTTTTGAAATTGATATGGAAGGCATTCAATTTTAACTGTCCGACAGTTGATTAATTTTTTAAGATAAATCAAAACAAAATGTGCATTTTGTTGAACCAAATGAAAACTACGACATTAAAAAAATGTACTGAAGTAAAATTGTGTGATGTATAAAGGGTCCTGATTATATGATGAGTTTGCAAGAACATACGAAAAGCGAAAAATATCAAACATGCAAAAAATACTCAAATCCTGGATAGTTGTCGTATGTTATACATAGAACATGTACAATACTATACTCCTTATCGCTATTTGGTCGAATCCTGAAAAAGCAGTCATTTAGACAACTTCCTGTTTGGTTCAAGAATTGCAACTACAAAGGCCATCAGTAACAAGCTCAGGAAGGAAAATGTTTAGAAAGCAGACATTTTGAAACTATGATAGATATTGATCCACTTTTTTAAAACACAAATTAAAATCATAAAAATTCTTTGTTTGAAGTGTTTCATGTGTTTACGATGGTTTAAACATTTCTCTTTGAAAAGTTTTATGCACAATACACAGTTTAAACAGGGCCCTAGATAGATCAACTGGATGTAAAAGTTGTGTAATTACAGAACTTATCCGGATTGGAGTAAATAGCGATAAGGTGTATTGACAGGTCAAAGCATGCAATACCAGTTACTTTCAGCAATGTATGTATTTACATTTTTTTGATTTTTTTATTTGTCAATTAGCCTCAGCTTTTTTTGATGTTTCTCAGTACCTCTATTTTTCAAATCTAAACTTGATAGTTTTTAAAATTAAAAGGTCCTGAATAAGAAACGCTGGCATAAACATACTAGTACTTTAAAAAAGAAAAGTGAAAAAAAGATTTTGTTACTACTGACTGCATATATGAATATGTCAATCTTAAGATTTGAATAAATTTATTTTTTTTAACAAAGCTAAACCAGACAGCATCTTTTCAAAAGAACGGCCTTCCTTACATATTCACACCTACATGACCTAAATAAAAACAATAATGTGTGTGTTATTTCAAATAGTATGAATCTGTTTATATTTTACTGATTGAGTGATTTGCATGCAAAAGCAATTTATACAATGCATGATAAGTACTAGTTACTAGTAACTACAATGAGGAATTCTGGTCAAGCACTAGTGTACAATTCCACTTCAATTAACACATGATTTACAAAAGAAATTTCTTAATTATAAAAAAAAAGCTTTATCAAGGACTTGAATGTCATCCCTGGATTGCTGAGCTACAAAGAACTGAAATAGTCAATATAAATCTAAAAATATGATTAAATAGGTCAACTGTACAGTGATAAATTCTAGGATTATTTCATTTTGATTTTAAAGTCTGATAAATTTTTAAGTTGTAAGAATTGTTTTAGCAGTAAAAATTATGAAATAACATATACTGTAAATTCAGAAATTATTGTGAGATTTTTATTTTAGCGAAAAAATTGTGACTGGGTGATTATCGCAATAATAAGAACTAGCATTCTGATATCTGACACATATATTTGTATGCAGTTTTTCCTGTAATCACGATAATTATTGTCTCATTTTGTTCTGTCATGTCGAAATCGCATTAAAAAATGCATGCAATACTTTCAGAATTAACAGTATTTAAAATACATATATAGATAACACAAAGGCTTGGTCCATTAGATTCAAATGAAATAGCCCTCATATGACCAGGCAAACCATTTTGTATATTTTACTTATTAATATATACAAGTTAAAAAAGGATTATTAATTTAATGCTCTAAAAAATGCAAATGTAATGTAATAAATAACCTTTAAGTGACTGGGCTTAATTTAAATTTCATCTTATAATATACAGAATATTAAAAGGCCTTATTCATTTAATTCTCTTAAAAATGTAAATGTAATGTTATAAATATCCTTTCTGTGACCAGGCATATTTGAATTTTTTCTCAACACTGCTTCATTTCGATCTGAATAGCCAAGAATATATTTTTGCACACAAGTATATAATGACTGGTAGGTGTAGAATCACTTCTCTGGTACTCCGTCTCTGGTTTTCCTGTTCTAGACTGGCCAGACGTCTGGACAGTTTGGCCACCTGTGTACGTATCTGGGTTGCGTCATCCTCTTCAGTGATTAACAGTGAGTCACTAAGTGAAGCTCCTGGTGTAAACATTACTGGGCCACGGGTATCTCTACAAAATATTAATTGAAAAGTATTGCTTTGATGAAAAAATGTCACAAATAATGAAAAAATTTCAAACAACCCCACTGAACAATGCAGCATACATACAAGGTCTGTAAAATGAATCTACGGAACACAGGGAAATCCCTGGTGATTATGAGTAGTAACACTACGGCTTATAACTCTGTCAAATAATATCTATTGAATATATATACAGAGTAGTATCTCAGAGATGTTAAGCCTTTTGTTTTTCATTCATTGCTTTAGCATCAATCAAGCAATATATTTTCTCATTTGAATTGTTTTCAATTTTGGCATGCCAAGCTTACTATATGGTATGAGTTCTGCTCATTCTTGAAGGCCATACAATGATTTATAGTTGCTTACATCCACGTCCTGTGGTTATCGGATAATGCATGTTTCATTGGCAATCAAACCACATCTCTTTATTTTCACACTTACAAATAATGGAAACTGGTGATCAAGTATTCTAGCAGAAATTCTGGAAAGCATCCAATAAACAAGACCCTGTTTTTGTAGTTTTTGCAGTCAGCTATTTCTTTCTGTTGCATATTTTATTGGGAATGAGACCCATTCAAATATACATATAATTTGCCATGAAAAAGTTCCATATACAATATACATATATGAAAAGTCTTGGCAGGTATATTTACAGCTAAAACTTTTTATTGAAACTGCATCACAAAGTAAACTGGCTTTCCAGATTTCGTAAAATCAAATGGATTACAAGTAAATATAGATAACAAAGAAATACTCATGAAAATGTAAAAAAAACAAATGTCTCGCCTTCTTTACTAACCATTGATATTATGTTGATAGTCCTAAATATAAAGCTTTACTATAACTATCACATAAACTTAACTTGATCCAAGAAAATGAGGTCAAGGTCATATAAACCAACCGAGAAATACATGTACACCTTACAATCATTCAATACACTAAATATAGTTGACCTATTGCTTATAGTTTCTAAGAAACAGACTTAACCAAGAAAACTAAACATTGACCAATGAACCATGAAAATGAGGTCAAGGTCAGATGAACCATGTCAGGCAGACATGTACAGCTTACAATCCTTCCATACAACAAATATAGTTGACCTATTGCTTATAGTTTAAGAAAAACAGACCAAAACACAAAAACTTAACACTGAGCAATAAACCGTGAAAATGATGTCAAGGTCAAATAAAACCTGCGAGACTGACATGTACATCATAAAATATTTCCATACACCAAATATAGTCGACCTATTGCATATAGTATTAGAAAAAAAAGACCAAAACTCAAAAACTTAACTTTGACCACTGAACAATGAAAATGAGGTCAAGGTCAGATGACACCTGCCAGTTGGACATGTACACCTTACAATCATTCCATACACCAAATATTGTAGACCTATTGCATACAGTATAAGAAAAACAGACCAAAACACAAAAACTTAACTATAACCACTGAACCATGAAAATGAGGTCAAGGTCAAATGACACCTGCCAGTTGGACATGTACACCTTACAATCCTTCCATACACCAAATATACTAGACCTATTGCTTATAGTATCTGAGATATGGACTTGACCACCAAATCTTATCCTTGTTCACTGATCAATGAAATGAGGTCGAGGTCAAGTGAAAACTGTCTGACGGGCATGAGGATCTTTCAAGGTACGCACATTACAAATTATCCTGTTACTCATAATAAGAAAGAAATTAACATTACAAAAATCTTAACTTTTTTTTCAAGTAGTTACTGAACCATGAAAATGAGGTCAAGGACAATGGACATGTGACAGACGGAAACTTCGTAACATAAGGCATCTATATACAAAGTATGAAGCATCCAGGTCTTCCACCTTCTAAAATATAAAGCTTTTAAGAACTTAGTTAACGTCGCTGCTGGATCACTATCCCTATGTCGAGCTTTCTGCAACTAAAGTCGCAGGATCGACAAAAATGTAATGTGAGCTAACACGAGTTCATCAGCAATACATTGGTCAATGAAAAACTTTCCGGACAGATTTACAATCGTTTTTTAATGACCACAATACATTACTACATAACCAATTATTGCAAAATCAAGCAGGTTATCTATTATGAATAAAGTACTGGATATATGGATGGATTATATGGCTCTTTAATGTCCATGGCCTGTAGCAATTATTACATGCAAATTCAGGATGAAAGCATGTAATGTGATATTAATATGGACCCTGTTTTGTACTAGCATGACTAGACTGACACACTGAGATGTTTTTGTAACATGTTAGTTCACAAGGTGACATACCACAGAAAGACATGTCACCCTACCCGGATACATTATTTAAGAAATAATTCATGGGACTTGAATATATCCTGATTTTACCACGGGTTGGCCCTTTATGACAAATATTTTACCCTGAGCAATTCTAATAGGACAAATACGGCAATTCTTTTGGATCGAAGCGCTCTAGATGAAGGCAAATATTTGCCGTTCCCATAAACAAACGCACTATTCAACTGATGTAAAAGAACGGAGCAAACTGAATTAGTGACATGCTTAAACTATTTACAATAATGTATTTAAATAGGTTTTGATGAATTTAAATAAGAATTTTATTTATATGGGTAAAGCCAAAAAGGTGCTCCAAATTGGTCAAATAACCATCAGAAGCTTAAATCCCAATTTTAAAATATTTAATATATGTTATTTGATTACAACTTGTTATTGAGCATCAGTGACATGATGAAGTAGAAGATTTGATAAATATCAAATATCCGCTAATTCAATGTGTCTTGTTATTGAAGTTTGTCAAACGTAGATCTGTACGTTCCTGTGTCCCAAGCGTGACATGGAAACCCCCTTCTAACAAAAAATATACCTGGTTGTTTTTATGGGCAAAAAAAAAACGGAAAGTAAGTTAAATCGTCAGAAAAGTGTTGTTGCACTATAAATCCGTCAAAGTTTTGCGTGAAATGCAGTAAAATGAATCAAAGAAACGATTATTTCGACAGGGTTAGTAATGTTATATTGACAATAGACTACTATGGTAAAAATAACGCACGGGGTTTTCCGCGATATCATCATCTGCGGAACATTTGATTGGTTCCTGTCATATTCATGCGCCGTCGTATCTCGGCTGTTTCAAATAGTTCTAATTTTGGTTTCGTATTCCGTTTTATGAGAAGCATAGAATGGCAAGTTTGTAATGTCAAAATAACGTATAACGTACGTAAATGTTTATTCCTTATTATTAACGGAAAGAGTTTATCCAGGGAGAAAAAAAATACTTTGTTTCATTTCAAAATTGCTATATATACGAAACTAAATGTTAGCATCACTATCATTCATGGATGAAAATGGAAGAAGAACTCGATGGTAAGTTTTTAGCAAAATGTCAAACTAATAACGACCAGGGCGTCAAACAAAGTATAACGACCAAACCATTCTGTCAAATTGACACTGTTTTATATAATTTTTGCCAAAATAATATGCTTAGAATGATAAGAACTAACGAATATAACGCATTCAAGCACCCAAGTCAAACCATTTGTTCACTTTTTACGGTAACATCGATATGACCGTTACTTGACCAATTTTGTCAACCCAGTCAATATAACACCTAGGATGTAGATGATCTTTGTAGAGATATACTGCACCATTCTTTTCATTTAACTTCTATTTCAACTTACAGATAATAAAGGGGGAAAGTTAATATACATTTAAAAAGGGTGAAGTATAAATTTTCAGTGCTTTTTCACAGGGTGTTAGTTGACAATTATATGCATAGTCAATATAACCAGGGTCATTAAGAGAGTTAGTTGACACCTTAATGTAAGGGTCAATATAACTCTTACTCCCTCAGTAGTCCTAAAGCTACTATTACTACTGAAATATGTTGACTTTGGCTTTTAGCCTACAAATCTCTTGTACAATAAAAAAATTAAGCCTTTTAATGAAATTGTAAGCATATTTCCTGCTTCTTTGAAATAGAGCATAAGTTGACAACTAAAGGATTCAAGTCAATATAACCATGGTCCAAAAGAGAGTTAGTTGACACATTAATTTTATAGATTTAAATACAGCCTTTTATCAAAAGAACATCAACAATAAACAAGAAAACAGAAAATTGTCACAAGACTATAACATGCAAGTTTCTGTCTTGAGACGGTGCAACAAGTTTGTTTTTAAGCACTCAACCTCCCCATACCCTTGAATTTGACAATAAAAACATGAATGTAGACACAATGCAAATCAATGTGAAGTGGTACTTATTTCCAATGCTGTTTTCAACATGGATAACATACAACATCATAAACATAAGAAGATGTGGTATTATTGCCAAAGAAACAACTCTCCAACTAAGACCTAAAGAAGTAAAAAAAACAATAATAGCCTATAAGGTCACGTTATGGCCTTCAACATGGAGCCTTGACTCACATTTTCATTCATTTCAATTTAAAATCATGTATAAAACTATTTTAACTTTATTTATTTGCTTTTCAGATCTTTGAGATAAATCAACTGAGTATGAACAGTGGAATAGACAGCAGAATGAACTTTAAAATGTTTTTAATTTGTTTAAATAAATGATTTATGGTTTGATTCTTGAATAGTGGTTTAATTATTAGTATTGTCATACATTAATCATGTTAATGTGTTTTATACTTTACTTTCAAAAGTGTTGATTTAATAAGCTCTTGAAAAAAAATTGTTAAAAACAGTTGATCAATAAAGTCACCATCTGACATAGCCAAGAGTATCATAACTGTACATCTTAAATGAGCAACCTTTGACCAAAGTACAAAGTCAGTTCAAGCAGTCAGAGCTCTGACATAAACAAGTCAGAATAAAATGACTTCCATAGGTCAGATATAATTTGATGTAAGTGTTGTCTCCCTTCTTGCACTCAACAGAATATGACTTGTACAGGTCAGTTTATGTCAAACTTTAATTTATCATAAAATGACTTCCACAGGTCAGCTTTTGCACAGAATATTGTGACTTAATATCTT